TTTTTTGTTTTTTTTTTTTTTTTTTTTTTTTTTTTTTTTTTCAGAATAATTATACGTGGTCACGTAAGCGGTAGTAAAATTCCAAAATGCTCTTAATTACGGTTGCAAATTGTCAAACTGTATTATGATAAGAAACCGAAAAATTTCAACTAAAAGAAGAAAGAAAAAAAAACGGACACATTTACATGTTAAACGGTTTTTCTCATACGTACGATCGACATCGTACGATAACGCGTCCCACGATCCCAGCAGCAAGTTAATCCACTCTGATATTCACAGATTAGTATCTTCATTCGGGTTAATGTTAATAAAGGAACGCGTCGAACGCGCGTTGTATAATTAATTCACGGTATTATTCGCGCGCTGCACTGATTTCGGTCCATTAACAGGCAGCGCACTCGGGTGCGTGTACATGTATTACAGGCGTTAACACACGTCGAACCGAACGTACATCCTGTTTATAGGGCGTGCAAGCCTTCCCGACCAACGTGACGCTGCAACGATTTCTGGAATTGCATATCGAGATCACGGGGGAATTGCCGGACCCGACCAGCGGTCAGACCATGGAACGTTGCGGCGTTTGCTCGGAGAAGAGTTACTGTCAACTGTGCGTGCACTGCGAGAAAAAATGCTGCCCCGAGTGCAAGGACGCGCATATGGATATATTGAGACGTGAAATTGCACGTATCAATTCCCAGGTATAATTATGTATACATATATAATTGAGGTGAAAAGGTGCTGCAAGAGTTAGGAATAATTGAGGAAGAGCACGAAAGTGGCGATCAAAGTAATTAAAAACCGCCTCAATTTAGGAAAACATGGGAGACAATTGAAAGTAATAAGAAGATGTACTGTAATTAATATGATGATAATCAATTAGTTAATATTGATAAGATTTATTGGTAGGAATTTTTCTTGATGCATCAATATATTACACAAATCAGCATTAATATCGTGACCGTGAAATAAAGCAATAGATTTTAATATTTTATTTTAATATTTTCGTCTATGCAGATCTATCTACCGATGTCCAAGTTTTTCTGTCGTTTTTCTGTCTTACGTTTGAAAGGCGACCCTGGTTCAAAGAGAAATACTTTACTACATCGATCACAGAAACCAATTTAACCAGTTCCATAACTAATTTTCCTTTGGCTCGTCGGTAGACATAGTAACGTATTTAGGAAAGCAGAAACTGTTGTGCTACAGTATCCGGTATCGGGGTGTACTTTAAATTCGTTACGTTGTGCCCTTCGGCGTCCCAACGGAAAATTTATTGCCGCGCAACTTCGCGCATTGCAATTAAGCGTGTACGATAGGGACGTACGTTGAAACAAGATTGCGACCTAGATTTTTCATTTCCTGCGAACAGCCGCGCGATATGTTAGTTGAATTCGATAACGCAATACCAACATCGATTAAATATAAAATAAGCTCGTGGTTTTCTAATTAAATAAAAAATTCAACAAGCATCATGATCTAAGCAAGATTAGATTACTAAATCTTAATTTTTTTTTTATATTTTTATATTTTAAAAGCTATAATTATATTAAAATTACATTATCTTAAAAATCGAAATATTGTATATTTGAGAAATCATTGTGTACGATACAATTCTCAGACTCAAAAAAATTTAAATAAAATAATTTAGGATGAAAATTATATATTTTTAGGTGACTAGATCAAAAAGAAACTATAACTATTACTATCAAAATTGGTTGTTCGGTAATTTTGTATCAAGAATTTG